CACAATTTTTTTATGAGAAATAATATTTTTTAATAAACCTTTTTTCATTCGACATACTTTATCTTAATCGAGATATTAATAAGGAACCAGCAGATCAAGTAGCTTTTGTAATAAAACACCATTTTTTTTTAAATTAAACACTATCTAAAGATTTGCATCGAAGCGTTTATTTTTGATAGTGATGTTAATCACTGTCAGATATCATTATACTTGATCCAACTATGCCACGTCACCACTGTGCCGCGACCCCCCTGTGCTGGGTTTTTTTTTAACATTATGTTGCTATAACTTTTTTTGTAATATAGTCCACCATTAATGAGATCTCGAAGCTATAAATTTTTTCCAAATGCATTCTTTAAGCGTATGGTTAAAACGTTCGTTTACGCATGCCTTCATTGCAGAATATGTAGAGAAATGATGAATACCTCTCTGTATTAGAAAAGTTTTCAGCTCTATTGAAAAATTCTAAACCCCTGTCTGTTGTTAAGTATAATGGATATCTATTTCAATTACTTATTATTGATTTAAATGCTACAATCACTGTTCTACGAGTTTTACTTATTAATGGTACACAACATGCCTATTTTTTACACATGTCTATTACAGTGAGAATAAAAATATAGTTTTTATTTAAACAATGATTCGACGTCGACGATCAAACAATAATAAACGCGGTTACGGTTTAGTTAATTCTCTTATAAATAATCTCCCTGTAGAAGTTTATTCGCCAAAGTATCAATACCTAGGACCCGGTACGCGATTGGAAAAACGATTGACTCGTGGCCTTCCCGGAAAAATCCGTTGGATTCAACAACTTGCTATCACGATATAGCATACAACATATTAAAAATCGAGATAAAGTCGATTATAATTTACAAAACCGAGCTTGGGAAAATATTAAGGCAAAAGAAAGTATGTTTGGAGAAGAACTAGTGGGATATGCAACTACCAATATAATAAAAGCGAAACGTAAACTCGAAAGGGGAATAAATTTCAACTCGTTTGTCAATTTGAGTCGAAAAGCGATACGTAAAATGAAGGTTAAAGTGCAAAAAAAGCGAGTATCATTGCACTCTCAGAGGCTAAAAATACATTTAAAGACTCAGTCCGTAAACGTACTACTCCTCGCACTATAAAAATACCAAAATTCGGTGGAGCTTGATTCATATTTTCGCCGGTCTTTCTGTTCTCAGATCGTTTGCCGGTGGTGCTGCAAATATAATCAAAGTGGTGATAAAGATGTAAAAAGCTCAGTTAAAATCGGTGGAGGTATGCTTTCAAAAAGAAGATCAGCTTTATGTTCGAAATCATTTCAAAGAAACTAATTTGTATGTTACCCAGTGATCATCAACTAACAGTGATGGTATATTAATAATGCGAAATTATTCAAACTGTCTCAGTTTCGTCTTTTGTCTTTTCACGAGACAAGTTACCTAAATATTATTTATATATTATAAAAATAATAAAACTGTATTTAATGTTCTGGCTTAAAACATTATATGTATCCACTATCAATCCCCAATGGCTAAGAACATAGGTTTGGTTCGACAGTTCATGAGCCAATTTGAAGTAGTACACAGCTGATTATCTTGCACGCGCACAAGCAAATCACTTCACCTTATCATAGTTCTGTAGATAATAAACGTCTTTGCAACATGCAGTCAACTCAACCAAAGTAAAATATTAATAAAACATTTGTAAAATATACAAACAAATGTGGGCTACCATTAGGAACGTTACAAAATATAAATTATCATGGCAGATAAAAGAAGAACTGTAAGCAGTTCGGGACGTGAACGATTGGTGTTTTAGATGCAAGAGAATATTGAAAACATAATGAATAGACGAAATGTAGGCGAAGTGATAGATGACTATTATGAAGATTCTCAGTCAATGATAAATGGACACGACTAAACCATTCGTAATCGAATGGTAAGAGAAGATCAGATGATAAAAATTATCATTCTCTATCCAACAGAATACTTAATTAATCTTGTCAAAGGGTTAATCAAATTTTAGTTTGTAAAAAAAAAACAAAGCATTTTTTAAGAGTGATTCAAGGTTAATAAAACAATAGAGATATTTATTTTATAATTTGTATATTATTACAACTAATTATAGTAATAACTCTTTTAAGCTTAGTAAAAAGAAAAAACAATGGTTTTTAATGGTTTTAGTTTTTATTTTGAATTTAACGTAAGGCGTAAAGATTTTCTAATGTCCTCCATATCAATAGATTCATTTACAGTTGCCTGTTTAAAATATTTTAGTGCAATATGTTTAAAATTTTTAATTATGTAATCTTTTCGTTCTTCAAATAAATCATTCTTAATTAATCCTTCTAAAGACCAAGTATTTTTAAAATACTCCACAGCATTTCTTATCAATTTCTTCTCTGATTCTATCATTGATTTCTAAGACAAAAAAACCTATTGAAATTCTTCAAAATATCATTAAAAATAAAATACAACACCATATTTATACACACTAGCGCTTAAAAAGACACTGTTATTGTTACATGCAGACGATTTTTGTGGCTTATAAAATAAGTTTGCCGAGTAATTTATAACCAATAATAAACCTAAATGATACATTCCACAAAAAATAAGTATAAACTATAAAAATTAAAATACATTTTTGATAAAAGTTGTATTGTATTTTATTTTGTATTTCTTATTTATATTAAAATTCCATTAAAATTGTTAAAAGTAGCTCCTCTACTTAGATAGACAATAATAAACTATATTGAGTTATACAAAAATGTTAAATATTATGAATTTCGATTTATGAGTCCTATTAAAATCATAGTGTGAAATATCTCTAGTTACTACTTTCTAGTAATTAAAACAAAATTTTATTTTAATATATGATTGATAATAAATAAATTTATCATACATTCTCTGTTAATAAGTAATTATTACAAAAATAGTTAATTTATAAGTTAATAAACGCGATTGAAATTAAATTTAAATAAGAATTTAATAATTGACGTAAATACAATCAATTGTAAATTTTACTTACCCAAATATTTCTTGTATTTGTTTCACTGATGTTAAACAATCTTTTGTAAACATCCGCTGTACATAACTTAATATCTTTGAAACAGGAATCCTTTTTTTCTGCGTTATCGCATAAAATCGTACCCAATTTTTCACATTCTTCTGACATATTGTATTCTTTTGTGAAAATATTGTCAATGATTATTTCTACATTAGCGACTACTAGACTCACATTCATTTTTAATTAAAATGAGAAACATATTCATATTACATTAATATCATAAAAATAATATATTATTATTTTTTACTATTAAATGGAAAATTGGCTAAATAAAATTTACATTAGTCGATAGGCAGTTTTGTATTATTATTATAGATAATAGAGAAAAATAACTACTAATTTGTATGTTTTCATAAAAATAAATAAATAAAAAATCGGTAAAAAAGTGGAGTTGTAGCACAGTGTGGATATGACATAACTGGAACCAGTATAGATGATATCTGACAGTGATAAAATTACTATAAAAGAAACGCTTCGATACAAATCTGTAGGTAGTATTTAATTTATAAAATAAATTGTTTGTTTATCCCAAGAGAGAAATAAACTCCTATTTTCTTATTTATATCCTGATTAAGATAAAGTATGATACAGATAAAGTATGTCGAATGAAAAAGGGATAATTAAAAAATATTATTTCTCATCAACACAATGATGTTGATCCATATACTTTTCAATAAGTTATAGCATTGCTAAGTTAAAAATATAAAAAAGAATTATTTTACAAAAATCGTATTTTCTTATTATTTTGATGTCTATTTTCATCACGAAGACAAGTCCAGAGGTCAATTTTTTTTTCTATAATAAAATATATTACATTATCTTTAATTTAATATATATATATATAAGTGCCAGACCTTCCGTAACACTTTCAAAAGTTAAGTTGAAAAAATTAATTTTTTGTGAAAAAGTTGTAATTTTAAATCCTCCCTGTGGGCAAGTAAAAGGTTAAATTTATAAAAAAATATACCAAATGATAGGTAAATACATCAAGCATCTATAAAAAAAAATATATTAATTTGTTCATTTTTGAAAAAGTTATGGCAGTTAAAAAAAAAAAAAAATTGAAAAAATTTCGAGAAATATCGATTTTTAAATTTGTAATTTTTCTGAATATCAGTATATTATAGAATACTATAGGATATAGAACATAATTCAAAATATTTCAATTAATGTATCTATTTCAAAACCAAGAACTAAGAGTAAAAAAAATAATTTAGTGTAATAATTTTATTCATTATAATGAATAAAATCATCTACAAATAATGAAAATTAAAATAACAAAAGAAATTACTCACAATCATCCCACAATTCATGGCTTCCTAAAAAAAAGGCCAAGTTATTAAGAAATAAAATTAGGTTAATGTTTTCAAAATTAAATGTTTCGTTTTAATTAATTACGAATAGTAAAAGTACGATGAACATTGACAACAGCCGAAGTATTTCACTAGTACTGGTAACTGACCATTGACTAGTCTGTACTCGTGTAGTACAGGCTGGTGTTTTATATAAGTACTGATCCAATGTTGGTGAACAGTACTTGACTGTCTTTGCAATCACAGTACTGGCGTAATACTGGTTATACAAAACCTTCATTACCAATCTGTCAGTGCAGAAAAACGTTATTATCTCAGACACATGCCAGTATTGATTGATTGATAACTGGTTGCCACTACTACAGCAGAACTACCAGTACTGCGCTATTACTGGGTAGTAGCGGTTGCCAGTGTTATATATCTAGTGTGCATATATCTAGTGTGAAAACGCTTTTTCTTGCAGGTAGACAAGTACTGTAAGTTTTGTATTTCCCGTATTATGTTAGTATTCTGATAAGTATTAACTGCCAGTATTGAATCAGTAATTAAACAAGATGTTATCCGGATCAACACCAATACGGGAAAGCCAATGCTGTTTCTGATGTAGTACTGCGTTCGTTGTCAATACTGATTCTTAACAAAAATGTCTGCTTGGGCTCTATTGTATTTGTTGGCATACGACATAATTAAGTAAATGATTGGTCGACAACAACTATTGGACTATTATTTCAAAAGTTATTCACATTATTATACCTAGGCGGGAGGAAGGAGTTAAGTCAAGAAATACCTATTGATAAAAATAGAAGCACCCCCTTTACATTTAAACATAACTTTAAGTAGTTAACTTCTGAAATACTGGTCTAACGTTGTTCTTCTTAGATAATTAAATAATCAAGTTGACTATGCATGTTGTCATTTGGAAAAATAAAGTTGTTACTATTATAAGGTATAATGGATGAACATAAAAAATACTTAATGATTAAAAAATTAAGAAAAGCGTGAAACTAAAAGAAACGATAGCACAATGTGGACGTGGCATAATTGGGACAAGTATAGATGATATCTGACAGTGATTAAAATCACCATCATAAAAAACACTTCGATGCAAATCTGTTGATAGCGTTTAATTTTAAGAAATTGGTGGATTATTTCAAAAGAAAGAAGGGTAATACCTATAACTAGACACTATTTGTGATCATTTGATGTATTGTTTAAAAAATTGGTTAAGTGAGAGCTGAAAAAATGAATGACAGATACAAAAAACCTAGCACAAGGTGGTCAAGGCACAGTGGAGCGTGGCATAGTGGGTTCAAGTCTAATGATATCTGACAGTGATTAAAATCACTATCAAAAAAAAAAAAACGCTTCGATGCAAATCTGTAAATAGTGTTTAATTATAAGAAATTGGTGGATAATTACAAAAGCTACATGATCTGCTAGTTCCTTATTAATATCCTGATTAAGATAATGAATGTCGAATGAAAAGGGATTATTAAAAAATATTATTTCTCATAATAAAATTGTGTTGATCCATACACTTTTCAATAAATTATAGCATTTTAAAGTAAAAAATGTAAAATATAAAATCGAGAATTTTCACACAAAAATAGCACTTGGTAGCCATTTTCACCGTGAAGATAAAATAAAGTCCGAAATTTTTTTTTTTTCATAATAAAGTAAATTACATTAGCTTTAATTTAAGATATATATAAAAGTGTTAGACTTTCCGGAACACTTTCAAAATTTAAGTTGAAAAAGTAAATTTTTTGTGAAAAAGTTGTCATTTTGAATCCCTCCCTGTAGGCAGGTAAAGAGTCAGATTTTTCAAAAATTATACCAAATATAGGTAAGAACACTATGCATCTATTAAAAAAAATTATATTGATTTGTTAATTTTTGAAAAAGTTATGGCAATTTTAAGTAAAAAATATTGTAAAAAATTTCGAGAAATATCGATTTTTAAATTTGTAATTTTTTTGTAGATTTACCCCATTTACGGGCTACTAGGGAAATTTTTGAGGGTAATGTCTTCGACTAGATACGATTTGTGATCTTTTGACGTATCATTGAAAGAAATCCGTTCGGTGAGAGCTGAGAAAAAGTGGTAACAGACAAAAAAAAATAAATAAATAAATAAACACATCTTAGTAAAACCAATACCTTCTCAGCTTCGCATCGATGTTAAAAATCAACATAGTAAAATAATTTTAATATGAATAAGAAATTTCTATTCAAGAGGGGAGACTACAGTGATGGGGTCCTTGATATTCATTGAAGTAAAACATGAGATATAAATCAAACAATCTTTGAATTTTATTTCCATCTTAAAAAGGATTAAGAAAAAAATATATAAAAGTTCTTTCAACAGGGGTTTGACCTCAAATTCCGAGCATGTAAGACTATATTATATATAACGTAGCCACCGTGCATTATAAGAAACTGTAAATAAAAATGACAATTTAAACTAATTCAAAAATTCAAAGCAGATTTATTTTTGAACTCTGAGAAGGCAAAAGTATATTTTAGTCTATAATCATTAAAAAATATTTTATTTTACTGTATAATTTAGTATAAAAACAAATTTTATACTCCTATTAATTTGGAGATATTTAATTACAATAAGGTTTTTTTGAAGTGGCCATTTTTTATAATAGTGTAATTTTGAGGTATTTGTCTGAATTTCTAAAATTAAAGGGTTTTTACCAATATTTAGGGATTATAAGTTCAACAAGATTAAAATCATGTTATTTTAACGCATTGGTCATTAAAATTAGTCCAATGATAAAAATTAACAATAGATACAAAAACCACCATATAATAAAATATTTATAATGAATAAGAAATTTTTTCTCACGATGGTAAACTACAGTGATGGGATTCTTGATATTTATTGAAATTATTGATAATGAGATAAAGATCAAACGAACTTTGAATTTTTTTCACCTCAGAAAAAAATTAAGAAAAAATGCAAAAAAAATTAGTTTGACGAAGGGGGTTCGAACATCGTACATCAAGCGTACAAAACTTGTATATTATACGCAGCAACCGTGAATTACTCACATACTAGCTATAAATGACAATTTAAGATAGTTAAAAAATTCAAAGCAGCTATTTTAACTTTGAGGAGGCAAAATAATCAAAGTAAGTTTAAATTTATATTTAATGTAAGTTAGATACATGTAAATTTTATAAAACGGGTGCACTCATTAATATGGCAAAACCTTGTAAGGTATTTTAAAATGAACTAAAATAAATATTATTTGACCATGTTTTTTAACTACGGCATCCATTTGCTTATAAAAAATAGGTCGTCGGGACAATTTGAAGCTCGGAGTATTTCCGGAACATTCTTAAAACTTAGGCTGAATAAATAAAATTTTTGCTCAGAAATTAATATTTTAAATTCCCTTTGAAAAAATGTCGAAAATTATGGATTTTGAAATTTGTAATTTTTGTGGGGATTTATACCGTTAACGGTGAACGAGGAAATTTTTGTCATTTTTTAAGGATAATGTCTTCAATTAGATACGATTTGTGATCTTTTGACGGATCGTTGTGAAAAATCGGTGTAGTTTTATTTTCCACTGAGTGGTGTATGCTAGAAAAATTACTTTGCTGGCTATTAGCATGAAATAAAATATTACTTGCCCTGTGAAATGTAAAAAGTTACACAAAATATAAATGATGTCGAGAAACAGTTGAATTTTGGTAGTTCATAAATTTACCAATAAAGTAGTTATAAAATAAACTCAAATATAATTCAAGAAAGTATCTAAAATTAATAGAAATATTTTTTGTGTATAAATTATAATATTACCATTTTTAATATCAGTAGTAATAAAATACTGTTTGGAATAACATGATATTGTTTCTACTATTGCATTTATTTTATTCGCTGACACTAAATCCAACGCGGTTTTGATTGGGTTGTTTTGTATGCTGTGTTGCGTACCTGCTAATGCACGCGTCGTAACCTTGAAAAAAAATTGACACATTTATATACAAGAAAAGGATTCTACAAAATCTTAATGTTAATTTTAGCTTCAATGCGAAGCTGAGAAGGTATTGGTTTTATTACTATGTGTTTTTTTTTTGTGTCTGTTACCACTTTTGCAGCTCTCACCGAACCAATTTCTTTCAACGATACGTCAAAAGATCACATNTTAACAATACGTTAAAAGATTACAAATCTTATCTAGTCGAAGACATTACCCTCAAAAATTGAAAAAAATTCCCTCGTTCCCCGTAAATGGGGGAAACCTTCAAAAAAATTACAAATTTAAAAATCGCTAATTCTTAAATTTTTTTATATACATATATATATATATATATATTACATAACTTATTTTGAAAGATTTTATTAAAATAATGATACTATTCTGTATATTTAGAAAATAATATCGATGTTTCAATTACAGTAAAACCCAGCACAGAGGGGTCGCGGCACAGTGGAGACATGGCATAATTGGATCAAGTATATTGATATCTGACAGTGATTATAATCACTATAAAAAAAAACGCTACGATGCAAATCTTTAGATAGTGTTTAATATTAAAAAATTGGTGTATCATTCCAAAAGGTACATGATCTGCTAGTTCCTTATTAATATCCTGATTAAGATAAAGTATGTCGAATGAAAAAGGGATTATTAAAAAATATTATTTCTCATAATAAAATTGTGTTGATCCATACACTTTTCAATAAATTATAGCATTTTAAAGTAAAAAATGTAAAATATAAAATCCAGAATTTTCACACAAAAATTGCACTCGGTAGCCATTTTCACCGTGAAGATAAAATAAAATCCGAAATTTTTTTTTTTCATAATAAAGTAAATTACATTAGATTTAATTTAAGATATATATAAAAGTTTCAGACTTTCCGGAACATTTTCAAAAGTTAAGTTGAAAAGTCAATTTTTTGTAAAAAAGTTTTGAAATGATAGGTAAAGATATCAATCATATATAAAAAAAAAATTATATTGATATGTTCATTTTTGAAAAAGTTACGCCAGTTTTTAGTAAAAAAAATTGAAAAAATTTCGAAAATTAGCGAATTTTATATTTGTAATTTTTTTGGAGGTTTCCCCCATTTACGGGGAACTAGAGAAATTTTTGAGGGTAATGTCTTCGACTAGATACGATTTGTGATCTTTTGACGTATCGTTGAAAGAAATCGGTTCAGTGAGAGCTGAGAAAAAGTGGTAACAGACACAAAAAACACATAAGTATTAAAACCAATACCTTCTCAGCTTCGCATTGTAACTAAAATAGTTTATTCATAATTTTAACTAATAGCAGTGTCATATTTTTTTTTTCTTAAACTGATATAACTTTTTCAAAAATGAACAAATCAATATAATTTTTATTATAGATGATTGATGTCTTTACCTATTATTTGATATATTTTTTTTATGAATTTAACCGTTTTATATAATTATATATCGACTCTGTGGGCAGGTCCACAGAGGCGATATAAAATGACAACTTTTTCATAAAAAATTAACTTTTGAAAGTTTTCCGGAAGGTCTGACACGCGGCACGTGTTATTATGTCGCCTATCCCGTCGTCTATGACCTTGAGACTAGACTGTCGTAACACATTCACCCCACCCCGCTCACCACTCACCGCTAACACTATTTTCCTGTATAATTTTATTTTTGGTTTTCGTATCAATATACGCGTGCGTGTCATCANGGATTACAAATACAGGTAGCTAATTGATTTTTTATGACATCGATATTAGCAGGTACACAGCATTGTTATTATCAATGATAGTAAGGTACATTGTTGTGAGTTTATAAATACACTAACTGACAATACAAAAAGTATATATTATATATTGATAGTCATAATTGATAATAAACAATCCGTGACTAAGATAGCAATGTCATAAAAATCCAATTAGCTACCTGTATTTACAATCCCATGTGTATTATACATGTATATTAACTCAACATTTTGAAACTTTAAATGTTTATATCTAATAAGCTAATAAAGTTATATTAAAAATTCAAATGCCATTTATTATTTAATTAAAAACTCGAACATTTTATTAAATTAAAAATATGTGTTACCATTTAAAAAAACAATGTTGACCCCCCTCCAAGGCATAAGGGATGAACTTAAAAAGTATTACATAGTTAGAAATTCAAGAATAATGTGTAACTAAAGATAATAAAAAAAAAAAATGTTTAAATTATTATTATTCTGCAAGTAATTGAGTGGGTTATGATAAAAAAATCACTCTGTATACCTCGTGTATAAAGTTCCCCCGCCCACAAAACACGGCTATACCTTGTGCATAATACGTTTACGTTTTTAAGTCGCTTTACATGTATATATATATTCTAATTACTATTAAAACTTATATATTAATACGCTTTATTTTCATTAAGAGATTTATAGTGTATTTATTCCGATTACGGGGAATGATTTCCGTATCGTCATTTTTCGTCACTACCTCCATGTTGCGCGCCTACTGCTTTCCTTGGATGTGGTAGCCGTTTCTCAGACTCCATCTCCGGAATCGAACCCTAATTCCCCTTTACCCGTTACAATATTGATTGTAACTACTATCATAACATGAAACTTAAAAGTGAAAAATAAATAGATTTCAAAAAACTAAAAAAACACGCTTTTAAAGCACATCAAACTAAAAAATTCAAAATAATTTTTAAAATAAGTTTATAACAATAACGAACGAAAAGTACTAGTATTATTGTGATTAAAGCGTGGGTGCTTTGTGCCATATTTTTCGTATATTGAGCGTCCGACGCTTTAATCACAATAATACTAGTACTTTTCGTTCGTTTTTGTTTTAAGCTTATTTTATAAATTATTTTGAACTTTTTAGTTCGATGTGCTTCAAAAGCGTGTTTTTTATTTTTTTTAAACTATATTTATATAGTGATTTTAATCACTGTCAGATATCATTATACTTGATCCAACTATGCCACGTCACCACTGTGAAGTGACCCCCCTGTCCTGGGTTTTTAATATAAACTTTATTAAAAAATAAAAATAATAATATATGATATAATATTGAAAAAAATTCCATTTACATTCAGTCCCTTAAGAGAAAAAACATGTATTACTTAAAAGTATTACATGAATAATTTAATAATTAAGTTTTATCTTTTTATAGAAGAGTTTTGTAAACAGAAAAAAAGTTAATTAACCTGTCTAACATTTTTTCAAAGCTTCAAATTTACGCTAAAAGTAATTTTACATATTATTGATGGCTAAATTAAAAAAATTTATTTTACTAATACTTACGAAAATTGAATATATTAATGGAAAAATGTTATTCATGTTATTTCTCTTACTTGAAATTTTTTATAATAAATAATTTATTTTAATATTTTATTTCTTTTTAAACAAAATTTTTTACAAATATTTCAAAGTTAAATTACTTACAACTAAATAAATAAATATATGTAAATCAAATTTATATTCAAAATGTTATTCACATTTTTTACTCACAATTATATTAAGAAAAGTTTGTTAAAAAGTTTAAATGGCATAAAATTTAGTATTTTTGTAAATGAATAGAAAAAAACTTAATTTTTATAATATTATTTGTTGTACCTTACTTAGAAATATCAATGAAATAATATTTTTTACAAAATTATAATTTTATTTTGATTAATTAAATATGCGCAACGAATTTTATATTAAAAAATTATACTAAAATTATGATAATGATTTTTAAGATAAGGACATTAATAAAAATTTAAACGATTCCGCATTATTAATGATAAGCTTAGTTTTTAATGAATTTAAAATACTGTGATAACAAAATAAATTCAAATATAATTAATGACAAAAAAATATTTAATTTTTACCTCGGTATCTAATTTTTTGTTCTAAAATTAAAATCTTGTTTTCAAATTATAAGTAATGTTATTTTTGATTGAATATGTTTATTTAAATACTATAAATACGAAGATTATTTTATGACTTTTTTATATTGTAGTAACTGTTTACCAAGTGATCAGAAATCTCGTTAATACAGTTCACTACATTTATCAATTTGTAAACATGAAATAATTATTTTAATTTTTGAATATATTTAATTGTTAATGTAATTAAATTGTGTATACAATTTATATGCTAGTACATGTAATGATGAGCATTGAACTACTTGTCATTTTCTAACCTGAAAAAATTTAAATAACTGAATATTATCAATTTTTATAACTTGAGAATATTATTACTAAAAATTATTATAGGAAATTAAAAACATTTATCCAAAGAGTTAAAATATCTCAATTGAACTGATATATGCTATATATATATGTACTTTAATGTAAAACCACATTTGGCTTCGCAGTAATAATTCAAATTTTGTACAACACGTTGAAGACGTTCTTGTTGATGTTTATTTCAAGTTTTATACATTGATAACATTAACGTCAATATTACAATCAGGGCCGGATTTAGACTTTTGGATGCCCGGGGCAAATTTATTTTTGAGGCCCCTAACAGTAAAATAATAAAAAAATACTCATTATCGACGTAGTTAAGGATAAAAGTTTTAAAATTTTCAAATTTGCACTTTATAACTATTTACCTAAAACGTGTTTATTTCAAGTTTGAAACACTGATGTTCATGTAACACAAATTTCAAAATTCATTTAAAGATAATAATATTACATAAATTTATTAAACCTTCATAATTTGAAGAGTAAAAATAAATATAATAATCTTACAATTTAATTTATTACAATTTTTAAATTCAACCACCATAGCAGCTACATTAATTATAAATTATAATAAAAGATTAATTAAATTTAATACTATAAAATTTTTATTGGCAGTAGGTAGTAAATAGTACAATTAAAATTATTTAAATCAAAAATGTTAAATAAAAATATATTTTTATAAATTTGGTATATAAATTATATACAGGGTATTCAGTAAGTCAGGAAACGGGTTTCTATTGTTCTCTTGTTACAAACAATGAGGACAATAGAAACCCGTTTCCTGACTTACTGAACACTCTGTATAAACATTTAAAGTATCAAATTTTTTATTTAATATACATGTATAATACATAAGACATTACAAATACAGGTAGCTAATTGGTTTTTTATGACATCGATATTAGCAGGTACACAGCATTGTTATTATCTATGGTGGTAAGGCACATTGTTGTGAGTTTATAAATACACTAACTAACAATAAAAAAGTATATCTATTGATAGTCATAATTTATAATAAACAATCCGTGACTGTGATAGCTATGTCATAAAAATCATACATGTATATTAACTAAAAAATTTGAAACTTGTTTATAATAAACGAATAAAGTTATCTTAAAAATTACAATGGTATCTACTATTTAATTAAATACTCAAACATTTTATTAAAATAAAAATATGTGTTTCCATTTAAAAAAACAAAGTTGACCCCCCTCCAAGGCATAAGGGATGAACTTAAAAAGTATTACATAGATAATAATTCGAGAATACTGTGTAACAAAAGATAACAAAAAAAAAAAATCTTTAAATATATTTATTCTATCAGTAATTGAGTGGGTTATGATATAAAAATCACTCTTTATACTAGAAATTCCTCAGAGAGTATCTTAAATTTAAGGGTTAACTGGTCAACTAGATCCTTCTAAAGGTATTCTGTACCATACAATTGTAAAAATAAAATCAATTTTTAAATGAAAATCAAGGGGAAAAAAATATTGACACCAAATTTAAAATTAATTAATCAATTAAACTGGAAAAATTACCTATACATCGCCTAAAAAAATATCATTCCACAAGCCACTATCACATAAACTGAACAATACTACACAATTATAACACATTTTTTACCTTCATTGAATGGAACTTACAATATTTATTTCGGTAGTATTCAGTCTTCGGAGTTTTCAGCCTCCACTGCGCAGCGCATTTTAAATTAAAAAAACCAAAAATAAAAAAAGGCAGTACAGGGGGATCGCGGCACAGTAGTGACGTGGCATAGTTGGATCAAGTATAATGATATCTGACAGTGATTAAAATAACTATCAAAAAGAAAAACGCATCGATGCGAATCTGTAGATAATGTTTAATTTAAAAAAATTGGTGGATTATTCCAAAAGCTACATAATCTCCTATTTCCTTTTAATATCCTGATTACAAGTTTTATGATTTATAAGTGTAATATATGAATATATTCAGAGTGAAATGGATCTAAATAACAACTCATATAACTTATAAACTACATAACATTTTATACTTTTTTTTTAATCAATGTTTACAATACAGAACTATATTTAAAATATGTTTTATGTTATTTTTTACAATTTTAAAAAAATTATTTTAAAAATTAATTGTTTTATTAAAATTTTTTTTAAGATTTGATGATAGCCATTTTATGTATAAGTTTTAAAGAACAAATTTGATACCAAAAACTCTTATTTTAATTCAGTAGTTACGTTTATACAACATTTTGAAGTTTGTTGAATTTTTAGTTTTTATACAATTTTCCTATGGTAACAAATATTAGTCCATATTATGTAAAGTACAGAAATAAACACTTATTAAGTTATTTAATAGTAAAAGTACAACATCAACTTCTATTTCCTTAATTATACCCAGCTTAGTAATTCTTTTAATAACATATGTAGGGATTAACAAAGATGTTAAATAACATGTCACAATGAATGCGTTTATATATGTTTATATGTTTTATCTTAGATGTACTGCAGTACGATAACACTCCGTGTATTTTTTTTATTCTCGCGCTGTTCGTCAATCCAGTGACACTTTTTATTTTGTACTCTTTTTTTATGTATGTATAAAATCATTTTTCATTATTAAAAAGTATTAATTATTATAAATTTTAATTGTAGTATTTTGTAATAAATATAAACACCAAAACACTACAAATTGGTGACCTCTAAAATGAACAACAAATCCGATAGTGCGATAGTAAGTGTGCGTGACGACGCGACCGGTAATGATGGCCGAGACCATATCGAATACGGCGAGCCCAATATGAATTCAACGCGAGCGTTTAAAATCCCAACTTTCTGGCGTACCAACCCAGAACTTTGGTTCAAACAAATTGAATCCGTTTTTTATACAACCAGAATTACAGCTGACGCAAGTAAATTTCATCATGTTGTTTCTTCTATGGAAAGTGAAATTCTTGCTCAAGTTAGTGACATAATACTCAATCCACCAGAAACGAAAATGTACGAAGCATTAAAAACCCGGCTCATCGAAAGATTTTCCGAATCTGAACAATGTCGGCTTAAAAAATTACTGACCGAAGTCGAACTCGGTGATCGGAAACCATCCCATTTTCTTTCAGAAATGCGTCAACTAGCTAATGGAAAAGTAACTGATGAAATACTCAAAATACTATGGATACAAAGGTTACCACATCAGGTAAAAACTATCATTTCAGCTAGCAACGACAAGTTGGATAACTTAGCTTCGATGGCAGATAAAATTATCGAAGTATCGGACAGCCGAAATGATGGTTTTTCCATTGCCAACATTAGTGACAAGGTCACAAACCGTCAGTCACATGAACAAGCTGACGATGCAACGACAATAAGAAAATTGGAACACCAGATCGCAGCACTCGCACAAGCAGTAGAGCGACTTAGCAACAGCAACTCTCGTAGCTACAATAGGCGTCACTCAAAATCACCTATGCGCCGAGACAATTCACGACCACGATATGATACGTGTTATTATCATTACCGATTCAAAGATAAGGCTACTAAATGCAAACCACCGTGTAAATACCAGCACACGTCGGAAAACTATAAACGATCTACTGTCGAGACGACCGACGGTAGTGAGTTTCAATCTCGTCGTCTATTTATTGTTGATAAAATAACAAAAACTCAATACTTAATTGATACTGGTGCGGACTTTTCGGTTTGGCCAGCAGATCCTAAGCAGAAACGCAATAAAATAAAAGATGGTAACCCTACTTTATTCGCAGCCAACGGGTCAATAATAAAAACATACGGTGACAAATTAATTGCTGTAAATTTAGGTTTAAGACGTGTTTTTAAATGGAAATTTATTGTCGCAGCAGTCAGTAAACCAATTATAAGTGCTGACTTTCTCCACTACTTCGGCTTATTAGTGGACTTAAGAAGTAAACGCCTAATTGATGAAAATACCAATTTAGCCACCGCCGGAAAAGTTAAAAAGACGATATCCTCGGGCATCTTCGCTTTTAAAGACGATTCAGCATACATTAAGTTACTCAAAAAATTTCCGCAAGTATTAAGAACAAACATGATCCCAATGGATTGTAAACATAACGTTACACATCATATCATCACTAAAGGACCACCACTCTTCGCTAAACCAAGACGCCTTCCTCCGGATCGACTAGAGATCGCAAAAAAAGAATTTGCATATTTAGTGGAACAGGGCATATGCCAA